GATCATCTTTGTTGCTCTTCTCTGCACTCTTTCTAGAGTCTCAAAATGACTCACTTCATGACCACATCACTTAGCAATCGAAGTTTCCGTCTCAGTTGTGGTCATAAGTTGAGGACTACCTGTATTGTGAATTTGAAAGGTGGACTTAATAGTTTTATAAGAACCAAAGATCCTAAGGGGGCACATATGTCATATACTTCAGTGAACATTTTTTCTCTGTTTTTCTGACAGGGATTTTGGTGAGTTCCTTCGTTCTTTTAAGTTCTGAAGTCTGTTTTAGGGCTATGCTATTGCTTTTGGATGTATTTATGCAGCACATTCAATTGAGTCAAAATCCTACGCAATATGGAAAAGTTAATTGGCATTCCTCCCGAGTTTTCTTCCGTTTTGCTTTACTTGTGTATGAGAGAACTCACCCATTTGTTGAGTTTATGGTTCAATGCACAGTGTGTGAAATTGCCCAAACAAGTTCAATCACCAGGTTGAATGTTTGCTATTATGCATGGCTCCGGAATTAGGGCTGGGATGTAGTATTTGCAAGGGAATTCGTGTTTGCAAGGCTGAAACTCCAGAATTGTTGCAAAAATAGATTTTCCAAAAAAAACTCTGGAGCATGAAGGAAAGAGATTCCCACTGGCAGGAATTTTCATGCTCACCACTATCATGGATGCTCAGCTCTCCTTGTAGAGATAAAAGGCTGTAGGGCAGAGGTGGGGAATGATGGCTCCTTTATGACTGTGGACTTCAACTCCCAGAATTCCTGAGACAGCAGGAATTTAATCTCTTCTCTTCTCTTCTATCCATCCATTAAATAGCTTCTCTCTTCTCTTCTCTCCTCTTTCCATCCATTTGATACATTCTCTTTTCTTCTCTCTTTTTCATCCATCCATTAGATAGCTTCTCCTCTTCTCTTCATCCATCCCATTTGATATCTTCTCTTCTTCTCTATCCATCCATCCATCCAATATTTTCTCTTCTCTTCATCCATCCATCCATTTGATAGCTTCTCTTGTCTTCTCTCTATCCATCCATCCATTTGATCTCTTCTCTTTTCCTCTTCTCTTTCCATCCATCCATTTGGTCACTTCTCTTTTCTTCTCCTCTTCTCTATCCATCCATTTGATCTCTTCTCTTCATCCATCCATCCATTTGATAGCTTTTCTTCTCTTCATCCACTTGATAGCCTCTCTTCTCTTCTCTTCTCTTCTCTATCCATCCATCCATTTGATCTCTTCTCTTCTCTCTCTTCTCTTGTCTCTATCCATCCATTAAATAGCTTCTCTCTTCTCTCCTCTCCTTTTCTCTTTCCATCCATTTGATGCATTCTTTTCTTCTCTTCTTCATCCATCCATTAGATAGCTTCTCCTCTTCTCTCCTCTTCATCCATCCCTCCATTTGATAGCTTCTCTTCTCTTCTCCTCTTCTCTATCCATCCATCCATCTGATCTCTTCTCTTCATCCATCCATCCATTTGACAGCTTCTCTTCTCCTCTCTATCCATCAATCCATTTGATCTCTTCTCTTTTCTATCCATCCATTTGATCTCTTCTCTTCTCTTCATCCATCCATTTGATAGCCTCTCTTCTCTTCTCCTCTGACTATCCATCCATCCATTTGATCTCTTCTCTTCTCTTCTCTTCTCTTCTCTTTTCTCTTCTCTTCTCCTCTATCCATCCATCCATTTGATCTCTTCTCTTCTCTTCTCTTCTCTTCTCTTCTCTTCTCTCTTGCCATTTTACCCGGGGACACACACACACACACACACACACGGGGGCATCCCTTGCTCGAAGCCTCTTTGTCCCGCCTCGCCTCCGTCTCTCCCCCTTGCCCGTCTCGCGCCCAGCCTCCGCCGCGCTCTGCCTCCTCGCCAGCCCCGCTCCCGGGCACGACGGCGGCTTCCCTCCCTCCCTCCGCCGCTCCCAGGCTGCTCCGCTGCTCGCCCGGCGCGCCCCCGACGCCTCGCCGCTCCTCCTGCGCCCGCTTCTGGCTGCCATCGCCGGCTCGCCTCGTTCCTCCTCCTCCTCCTCTCTGCCGCCGCCGCCGCCGCCGCCGCCGCCTCCCGTGGCAAAAAAAGGCCCGCGCGCGGTCCCCTCCCCAGGACACCCTCCGGCCGGGGCGATGGCAGCGAGCGCCGCGCTCTTGCAGCTGCTGGCCGCGGCGGTGGCCCTCGCGTGCCTGGCTCTGGCGGCTCCTTCCTCGCCGCCGCCGCCGCCTCCGCCCTCCGAGGACGCCGATCCCTTCGCCGCTCAGCTGGGCGACATCTCAGCTTGCCAAGCGCGGTGCGCCCAGAGCCTCCGGCAGAGCCCCGATGCCGCCGCCGCCGCCGCCGCCGCCAAGGTAGCCATCGCCGCGGGGAGAGAGAGGCCGGGGACGGGGAGGCGGGGGGGGGGGGAGAGGGGCGTTTGCAAATTATATTTTAAAAAAGCTCAATAGTCGAATAACGGGGGAGACGATCATATAAATCAGCCTCCCCATCTCCCCCCTTCCCGGGGGGGGGGATCTGCCCCCGCCTCAGCTGTTTTCCTTCTCTTCCAAGAGGGAAAAAAAAATGATTTTCTTTTAAAGGCATCCATATTTTCCAGATCTGTTATTTCTGGTTCCCGCATCCCTATTTGTGGCCTCTGCATATCCGCAGCTACCTGTATCCGTGGCTGCGCGATGCAGGCGGAGAAAGCCGGGGACAGAACCTCAGCTCCATCACAACGACGAAGCTCTGTGCAAAAGGCGGAGGATGGTGTAGGGGGGGGGACACACATCATCACCAAGCTATCTTTGCTTACAGAAAATGGATTGGAGGAAAGCGACCATTTTCCCCAAGCTTAAGAAAAGGGGAGACAGTCGGACAGATTTGCAATAATCGAGTTTTTTTAAAAAAAAAAAACAAAAAAAAAAACAACCCCACACATTTTTTCCTTTATAATTTTGAATACTTATTTTTACCCAGGGTATAATTCTGCAGCCTGCTTTTTTTTTTTTTTTTTTTTGCAGAAGCCTAATTTAGTTTATCCTCTGCCTCTTTGGCTTGCTGGAGGGGGGTCAGTCTGACCCCCTGACACACTCTCCCTCCCTTGGTGGACACCCATTTTATGCCCGAAATTCTGCATTGCTGCATTTGAATCCGGCCTTTTATGAATGCCACATCAGAACTCTATAATGCACGTGTGCTTGAGTTTGCAATGATGTTCCCACTTGCCTGAGAGTAAATCCTATTGAACTTGCTGGAAATTATTAATACAGGCAGTCCTTGACTTAAAACCGTTCCTTTAACAACCGTTCAAAAATACAGTAGCACTGAAAAAAGTGCCGTGAGTTATGACCATTTTTTCACACTTGCCACCATTGCAACCTCCCCATGGTCATGTGATCAAAATTCAGACGCTTGGCAACTGACTCGTATTTATGACGGTTGTAGCGTCCGGGGTCATGAGATCCCCTTTTGTAACTTTCTGACAAGCAAAATCAATAGGGAAGCCAGATCCACTTAACAATGTTGTTACTAACTTATCCACTGCAGTGATTCACTTAACAACTGTGGCAAGAAAGGTCATCAAATGTGGCAAAATTCACTGGACAAATGTCTCACTTAGCAACAGAAATTTTGGGCTCAATTGTGGTTGTAAATCGAGAACTACCTGTTTTCATGAAGGTTGCAGTGTCCCGGGTTCAAGTGATTGTTACTGGCGACCTTCCCTGGAGGATTCCAACCAGTAAAGTCAAAGCTGGAATTTGCTTAAAGACCACAGCAGAAAGGTTGTAAAATCGGGCCTGCCTCACTTAATGACTGCATTGTTTAGTGATAGACGTTCTGGCCCAATTGTGGTCGTAAGTGCAGGACTGCTTATATTGCACCTGTATTGCGCTTGAAAACGGTCTTTGGAAAAGTGTCCAAGCTGCTTCTCCAGATCTGTGCATGTTTACATGGAAGCAATTATAAGTTGCATTCAGCATATTTTACTCTCATGGAAAGCAAGGCTGAGCTTTGGTGCTTTTCGGTCCCCGTTTCTGCAGTGAAATAAAAAGTCAAAACCTTGTCCTCCATGCCAACATTTCAATGAAGTTTGTTCCCATACCGGATGGAAGGTCTTAAATCACATTTATCTTCTGCAATAGATATGAAGGGATTTCCTCTGTGTCTCTCGCCAAAATGCATCCGTCATGCTCAAATCATGTCAAGTTATCCCGAAGGAATTCATAATATGAGATGCGGGCTTTTTTTGAATTAAACAAGCGAAAGTCCTGGAGCAGGCTACATTTCATTTTTTTTTCTTTTTTTAAAAACAGCCGGCATACCTTGTTGGAGAAATTAAAAAGCCCAGCTGATATGATTCGAATGTCAAAGTGGTGTTATCCAAATTCTGTTTCCTGTTTGGAAGCTTAAAGGGCAGGCCGCATGGAGAAAACTATTTTCTCCTGAGTGGTTATTTTATTGGCAGCATCTGTTTTTATGCCACTTAATCAGCTCCCAAGTCAGAGTAACAATACAAGATCAAAGAGTCGGTTTGGTCTAGTGCAGGGGTAGGCAACCTTGGCTCTTTTATGACTCGGGGACTTCAACTCCCAGAATTCCTGAGCCAGCATGGCTCAGCTTGGAAACCTCTCCCTTTCCCCTCAGCATGGCTGGCTCAGGAATTCTGGGAGTTGAAGTCCACGAGTCGTAAAAGAGCCAAGGTTGCCTACCCCTGGTCTAGTGATTAAGGTGCCGTGCTAGAAAGTGTGAGATTGTGAGTTCAAGTCCCGCCTTAGGCATGAAAGCCAGCTGGGTGACTTTGGGTCAGTCCTTCTCTCTCAGTCCGACCCACCTCACAGGATTGTTGTGGGGAAAATAGTAGGGGGAGGGTATGTTGGATACATTCTTCAACTTATTTGTAGAAAGAATAAAGTGGGATATAAATAAATAATCAAGCAAAGAATAACTTGAAAGCTCTGTCAAAAATTCAATAACACAAATAACATTATTATAATTATCCCAGCATTTTAAAAAAATCAGAAAAGCTGCTATCATGTATCATCAGGGATCTCTGGCTATATACATCTGTGGCCCTGAATGCATCTTGAAAAAGCAATATTTTCAGGTGTTTACTAAATATTAGAAGTGAGGGCCTGGATCTTATACAGGTAGTCCTCGGCTTATAATAGTTCTTTTACTGGCCGTTTGAAATTACAACGGCATTGGAAAAAGTGACTTATGACCTTTTTTCACGCTTATGACAGTGCCACATCCCCATGGTCATGTGATCAAAATTCAGACCCTTGGCAAAGACTCATATTTATGACAGTTGCCGTGTCCCGGGGGTCATATGATCCCCTTTTGCGACCTCCTGATATAAGCAAAGTCAATGGGGAAGCCACATTCACTTAACAATTGTGTTACTAACTTAACAACTGCAGTGATTCACTTAACCACTGTGGCAAGAAAGGTCATAAAATGGGACAAAACTCACTTAACAAATATATCACTTAACAAGATAAATTTTGGGCTCTGTTGTGGTCGTAAGTCGAGGACTGTCTGTATTTCTCAGTGGGATGTTGAACAGGAGGGAGGAACTTTGGGTGTCCTTGGGCCAGTCTTGGTCTCAGCCCAACCCACCTCACAAGGTTATTGTGGGGAAAAGAGGAGAAAGGTGTGTTGGATAGGTCCACACTGCATTATTATTATTATTATTATTATTATTATTATTATTATTATTATTATTATTATTATTATTATTATTATTATTATTATTATTATTATGTTGGAACCTTGGAGGTCATCTAGTCCAACCCCTGCTCAGGCAGGAAACCCTATACCATTTCAGACAAATGGCCGTCCAGTCTCTTCTTAAAAACTTCCAGGGTTGGAGCACTCACAGCTTTTGGAGGCAGGTTGTTCCACTGATTAATTGTTCTAACTGTCAGGAAGTTTCTCCTTAGTTCTAAGTTGCTTCTCTCCTTACTCAGTTTCCATCCGTTGCTTCTTGTCCTGCCTTCAGGCGCTTTGGAGAATAGCTTGACTCCCTCTTCTTTGTGGCAGCCCCTGAGATATTGGAAGACTGCTATCATGTCCCCCCTCGTCCTTCTCTTCATTAAACTAGACATTCCCAATTCCAGCAACCGTTCCTTATATGCTTTAGCCTCCAGTCCCCTAATCATCTTTGTTGCTCTTCTCTGTACTCTTTCTAGAGTCTCAGCATCTTTTTTAACATCTTTTTTACATCGTGGTGACCAAAACTGGATGCAATATTCCAAGTGTGGCTTTACCAAGGCATTGTAAAATGGTATTAATACTTCACGTGATCTTGATTCTATCCCTCTGTGAATGCAGCCTAGGACTGTGTTGGCTTTTTTGGCAGCTGCAGCACACTGCTGGCTCATATTTAAGTGATTGTCCACTAGGACTCCGAGATCCTAGTGGACAATCACTTGCAAAAGATGGCACACAAGCAAACAAGCACATCATAGTTAAAATCCTGTCCCACTGCCCCTTGTGAGATGTGGGGACTTTTAACAAAACTCTCTGCAGGCTTGACTGGATGGAAAGATTGTGGGTGGAAAAAGTTGTCTCATAAACAACCAGGCCTCAAGCGATGTAAAACTTGATGTTGGACTTTAAAAGTTATAACCAGCACAATAAATTGCACCTGAAACAAACCAGAAACCAATGCAGCTCATGAATGCTGGTGTTGTAGGACAATATTAGTTTTGTCTGTACTGTATTACAGATAGTCCTCAATTTATGACCATTTAACGACAGTTTGACAGCACTGAAAAAAGGTTACGTGCAGCCTTGAAATTGTGACCGTCACACCGTCCCCCTGGCAAACATGATTGCAATTTGGGCATGTGGCCACTGACTCGCATTTATGACGTTTGCAACTTTTCCACCCAGTTTCCAACAAGCAAAGTCAATGGAGGAAGCTGGAATTGCTTAACGACTGCAGTGATTTACTTAATGACCATGGCAAAAAAAGGTTGTAACATTAGGTGCAGTCACATGATGCCTCTATGTCACTAACCAATAAATTTTCCCATCCAAATTGTGATCATACGTGAAGGACCACCCGTAGTATATATAACCTGTTATATTTTGCACCAGTTGTAGCTTCCAAATAGTCTTCAGGGCCAATCCCTTGTAGAGCATACTGCAGTAGTCCATATCTGGGGTGACAAGGTCATGAGTGAACGTTGCCAGGGAAAAATACCAGTTGGGTTTTTTATTGTTTGTAAGCCATATAGAGTCACTGAAAGAGAGTAGGCGGCCATATAAATTCTCTAAGTAGATAAATAAATATGTACTGATTGGTTTGAAAGAGGGGTCAAAGAGGCCATCTAGGTCAAAACTGAACAGCCCTCTCTCAACA